TGGTCACCGTCGATCAACACCGTCGCCGTCCGTAGTTCTTSCGATTTGAAGTTAGACTTGTAATCGTAACCGTTTTATAGATGATAATAATAAGTTTAAAAGATTTTGATTGTGTTTAATGATAAGTTTAAAAGATTATGACCGTTTTCTAGATAACATATCATTTCCATTATTACCCTTTTAATTTTAAATTTTTTTGAATCTTTTTAAATTTAAATTTAAATTTTAAAAATCTTTTAATTTTATTTTTTATCGCAATATGTGATTATTAAGTTGTTCTCACGTTTTCGTAAATCACAGGGGTTTTCGTTTGAACCCTTCCCTATATATATATATATATATATATATATATGGACAAGATCAAATGTTAACAAAAGTTTTTGTGTTAACTTTGCAAACCATGTCAACCAATCACAATCCATTCTATTAGGTTTCTATTATGTTTACAATTTAATGTCAAGGGTAATTGAGTAATTTCATTTGATATGTAACTCCCATACCATTAAAGGGGAGTTACAAAATCATAAAATCTCTAAAAATATACATTTATAATATTGATATTTTATTTATTTTTAATCTTGATCTTCCATTTTTATTGTTTTATGAAGTTTTGATTCATGGAGGAAACACGATAGTAAAATCTTCGGTATCGTTCAAGCTATTATGGATAAATGCATTGGGAAAAAAATCGACAACATTGAGAAGATTAAAATAGTTTATGGTGACAATCGGAGTTCGAGTTTGGGAAGTGAATAAATTAACCAAAGTGAATGTCTTGTTAATGGATTAATATTTTATTAGACTCGTTTTAATCAAAATTATGTTCATATGATGTGTTGTGTTTTTTGTAGTTCATATTGCATTGATAATTTTTTCTTTAATTATTAATACGTACTTAATTCACATGTTCAAATGGAAGTACATGCACGACCCATTTTCATATTGTCATATTACCGACTTTTATGAATCATGAACCATTGTGTTCATGTTACTTCTATCATATGAACACAAGTGTTTTTTTTAAGCTGGATACCAGATTTTTATATTTGTGTAAGTGTTTGCATCCGGTGTTCATATATAGCGTCGGGGTTATGTGTTCATATTTTTTATATGATATGAACAAGGGGTGAACACGATATGAACAAGAGGTGAACAACCACATAAGACCAGAAACATATATGAACAAGGGGTGAACCTTAAACGGTGTGGATGCAATGCATGTATACAACTCCAATTGACAAATGATCGCTCATGAATGTGTTTATAATGAAAGAACTATTTTTCACAAGCTGTTCATATTGTGTTCATACCTGTTTTTTTATTTATTTTCTTTCGTATAGTAGTTATTCTTATTACGTTCATAATTGTGTTCATAAATGCTATTCAGTCCGTTGTGTTCATATGATTCTTACATTAATAAAAATAAATTAATACAAATCATAGAATTTTTTGATTTTGTAACTCCCAATTAATGATATGGGAGTTACATATTTTTTTTTTACCTAAATACCATTTTCAAGTTTGTTCATTTATCTTTATGAAATTTTAAATTTAAAAAAATAAGTTTTTATTATGATTAATCACAACCGTTTATTGAAAGATTGAATGACCAAGATCGATTAACAAAATTAACACAAAAACTTTGGTTAACATTTGAACCTAACCCTATATATATATATATATATATATATATATATATATATATATATATATATATATATCCATTTAAAAAAATAACGGGGGTTAGTGTTAGGGGTTTGTATGTACTTCTTGATAAATTAATTAGTAGGAAAGCAACAGATGAGTACATGACTCCATGCAAACGTCCCTTTCTACACCCTTTTTTTCATACTTTTACTTTTTAATATATTTTCCCTTTATTTTGTTTTGTTTTTAACGCCAATCTTTTTAAAGTTTAATTTGCAAATTATTATTCCATCGTTTGTTTTTTCTAGTCTCCTTTAATATGTAATCGTAGTCGACGATGGTGTTATATTTATGATGTTATTCAAAATTTTCGTAAAACATAACAAACTTACCAAAACCATTTGGCGTCTGCTATATTAATTAAATCTCAGAAGATATAATGAAAGTTTTTATCTACCCAGATTCAAATTCAAACGTTGTTAAAACCTTTATAATACGAAAATTTACTTGCAATGAGTTCAGGTCATTAATGACCATCGAAGAAAATAGTTGACATATATAAGCTAGCACGGGAACCTACGTTGACTCAGAAAAGAAAAACAAAACAAAAAATCAATTAACTAAATTTGATACATCATATATGTTTTACTTAAATAATAAAATCTAACTCTCACTACAAATAAGGACAAACATAGTAAAATCTTTTTGGATCATATATCTCAAAAAGTCTACTTTACAATTTTTTGTAGAAACTTGAAAATTTGGTATTACTAAATTACCCTTTACTTTTGAATATATATATATATATATATATATATATACACATTTTGTATCCATTGATGTGGAAATTCTGAACAAATCATAATTTTAGATATTAAAGTTAGGGATGCATATATATACTTAAATATGTCTTTCTTATTTTGACTATGAATACCTTTTTACTTATGAAATCCTTTTTTATATTTAATCCAATATATTGTCAATTTGATTTAAATCAAAGGAAAGTGTTTGCTCATGGTTTCCAAATTAAAGTACGTAGATGGGAATGAATGTACCTATAAATAATGACAATTTATCCGATTTGCAATATATTTTGTATCGTACCTTAAACTATTTTACTTTGGTCTTTCATGTTTTAAAAGTTAAAAAAAAAATTATACACAAAGTGGTTTAATTGGATTCACCCCAAATGTTGGAAACATAGACAAATATCTCAACCTTTAGATGGACATCATCAAAATATAACCAAAATTAAAAACAAACACTTATACCAGAAATTGAACATTTTATTATCTTTAATCGACATTCATATTTTTATATTTTTTCATTTGTTATTTCACAATTTTAATTTTCAATGTGTTTGTATTTGAACCAAAAATACTTATTTTATTATGTAATAAACTAGAAGGATACTCATGCAATGCATCGAGACGCATTTTAATTTCAATGTTTTGTTTTATTTTTTATCCATGCGATATAATAATATTTTATGTGGTTTTGAGAAAACGATAATGTTTTATTTTTGAAAAATATCATATAAAATTTGCAAAAAATATATCAATATTAGTATCAAATTAACTATTTAAAAGTTCGTGTTTGTGTATTTTTTTTAATTCAAAATTTTTATTGTAATTTTATTTAACGTAACGAAGTAACTTAATTTAGGTTTAATAATATTTTTTTATAAATATAATAATCAAGTATTCTGTTAGAACTCAATAATTATCCTAATTATATTTTATATATTTTATATTTTAAAATGATATGTTTATCTTCTATTTGATTATGTTTATCTGCAGTTAGTTACTTGAATTTAAACATAAAACTTTAATAAATTGTACTTATGCACAATTTACTTGTAATATTGAATTTTAAGTAAAATACATTAACAAAAAATATTTCATGCATAAAAAATGGTTTTTAAAAGTTTTTATCAAATGTTTTATAATATAGTATAGATTATGTGTTTTTAAGAAACCAATAATGATTTTATTTTTTAAATAAAATATAAATTTGAATATATCATAAAAATTTTAAAAAATATATCA